TTGTTCCTTAAATACAGTGTCTAAACGCGCCCTTCTTTAATATCTACAATAAAAATAAATATTACTCAATTTGATAAGAATTATCCAAACAAAACTATCTATAGTGCCTTCCATTAAAAAAAAGTCTAGGGTCTTGCTTTTTTCTTTCTAAAAGTCTTTCCAAAAGAATTTGTTGACAATTGAACAAATTAACTTCGTTGGACCACATAATTTAAAAACAAAAATTCACGATTATCTTCATCGCTATCTGATAAAACAACTTCTAACACTTTATTCTGACAATTTACTATGTACAAGTTCTTTTTTTTTATTTAATTTTGTATAAAAATGTCAAGACGCTCAATTTTCTTTTTTACTAGATTTTTAGTAGATCTTTTTTACGGATACGTGAAAAATGGTCGAAGTTGAAATATTTCGAGGAAAACAGAAAAGCAGGCACAGACTTAAAACTTCAAAGTAGATAATCGTTGCGCAGAATTGGAACAAATAAGAAACTTTGTGCATATTTGAAACGTTTAATTGTTTGAAAATACATTTATAAAGTTTGATTTTGAAATTCGAGAAATCGACGAATTATAGAGTATTTTCGAGAGCGTGTCAGATTGCTCGAGCGTACCACCTGGCAGATTTCAGTGCATTCTTCTTAAAACCATGCTCCTCGGGAGCATAATGCTTCGAGAAATACTCGAACACAGTAAAATCAAACGAAAAGCTGTGTAATAAATATTTATTCTCGCGTTTTAGTCTAACAAGTGAATGGAAACTAACGAGCAAATACATAATGAAATTAAACATCGTGTAGCCTTATAATATTAAATTATTTTATTAATAAATTACTTAAATACGAATATTTTCATTTACTTTCGATTATAGTATTCCAGAAAATACCAAGCATTCCTAACTATGAATATAAATATAATCTCAAGCATAATAATTTATGGTCTTCTGCCGTCGTTCTTATCGTGTTAATGTCAGAGTAAAAGATACTTATAAATTTAAAAATTCACGTGTATACCAACTTTCGTTTACGTTTCATTTGTTAATTAGAATCTTGGAAACCGAGAGCGTTAAAATAAATAATACGTAATGTTATGCAATCGGAATACCATTATATAAATTTCTAATTATTATCAGACTGCACGATATCTAACTATCATAACTATTATAACATCTTACTACCATCAAGAGATAAAAATATTTTATATCTATTGGAGATATGATAATTTGAGAAAAAATGTTTCAAACTGTATCAAAAACATCGTACAACCGCCATTTTTCGTTACAACATTTGAGATCATATGTAAACCCTCAATTTTCTTCAGAATTACATTTTAATAGAATTCCAAATTTTTTTCATTTTTCGTCAACATTTTTCGTTTATATTATTCTCGAAACGAAAATTGTTTGATACAAATTTTTCAAATCCTTGACCCTTAAATATTTAATAATTGTATTTCTTCTGTTGTTTTTTTTTTATTATCATTGGGTGCTGTTACAATATTTGTTACAAATTTGTTTGGATAATAATCTTTAAAAATGAATTTTTAGTTGAAATTCACATTGATTTAAATTGGAAATATTTTTTCACATTACGCGTGCACTGTAAAGAATTTTACTTTTCTTTTGTCTTGCTTTTCTAAAATTTACTAATCTTCTTTTATTTTCGTAATTTTTCATGAAGTAATACGGCGAAGTTTTTTTAAATTTCTAGAACCAACGATTTCAAAGCTTTCATTTCCCTTTGTTCTTGTAAAGTCCATTTCTGAATATCAACACGATTAATTATGAATCCAAGATTCCAAGATTCACAGTATTTTTTTATTTATTGTAAGCAAATTGGAAAATGCATGATAATTTTTGCTATCGGTTTCCACTTGCTAATAATTGTTAGAAACTTTCTTAGGCTCCTTTCACTGATCCTGGTCTTCTTCGATTAAAAATTTTTCTTTTAACATCATTAATATTCCTACTCTCGTTCATGATTCGTATTTGTCTTGAATTACTTTGAATTATAAGCATCCTCATGTAACGGGTGTTCCATTTGGAATAAGCATATTATTCAATAAAGAAAGAAATTAATATAACAAATTTGCTATTTTATTATTAATATTCTCTTATTCAAAATGTGACGCACATGCGCTCCAATAAAAGTTTTATCAAAATTTCATTCACGAGTGGCAATTTTATTCGAATAATGCTCATTGCGTAAAAACACGCGCTGCAAGCACTTTTGCACGCGTATGTAAAAATAGTTTTATCGATTACACAACGAGTAAATATTTAATCACCTCTTTACATTAGCTGTTTCGTCACATGTGTTACACAAACGATATTTTTTATATTTCCATAGAAAGATTTTAGCGAAATTATAAAACGTGTTTCATCTCGTTAAATTATTAACAAAAAAATTATTAAATTTGTATCAATTTAAAAAATCTGAGAATTCATGGGAATTAATGTAATCGTTATCCTTTCATTAGTGTTTAAAATAAAATATATCTTTGAAACAGTCTTTGGTTTTTATTTTAAATAATACAAAAAAAAAACAGCTTTCGAGTCACTTAATCGTGTCTTGTAACTTTAATCGTTAACGAACCGAGTTCTCTTATGGTTCATTAGTGGTTAAGGGTAAACAGGATCATTACCTCCGAGGAATATTTGTTTAGCAATTCGTTGATGCACTCAACGATAAGATGATCGTGAACACAAACTTTTAACGAATTAATTTCTACTGTGCCATGGGCCGATGCTTTCATGTGCGATGAATGAAAAACTCGAAGACAGTTATTGCATCTATCTGTTTCACGTTTAATGCTGATTGTATAACGCACAACGATCAATCAAAAAGGATTAAATGGTAAACACAGTATATGGTTTTTTTAGCCTTTGAAGAATTTTTTCTTACAATATTGGTTTCTTAAGTTTGGTTGAATATAGTAATCAAAAATTTAGTATTACATCTCACTTAACGTTGTATAATAAATTTATATTCTGTTTTAAAAGTAGATAATATTGGTTATGTTAGTTTCAATTTTTCATCGTTTCATGTAGCTTTAAGTTTGAGTATATTTGAAAATTTTTTACAATTTTGTAATTTATGTCTTGTTGTGCTTCAATATTTGTATTATTCTTTTCATTTTATATTCTTTGTCTTATATTTATTTGCTCGCATACATCAGTGAGTAAATAACACTTAATATTCTATATACTATAAATGTGATGATGCAAAACCAGAAATTGTGTAATTTTTATAAAAAGTTATAACAATAAATAGTTAGGAATTGAGGATATATTTATTTATTTATAGATCAGAATCACCTTGTAAAAGAAATAATACATGGAAACAAAAATATAAAAATGTCTATAAAAATTTTATAAACTATATACATAAATAACATAGTGAGATTTTACTACAAAATAACAGACGACTACAGTAGTTATATATTTAAAATGATACAATAATACTGCTGTAGTTGTTAAACTCCGATGGTCGATATATTAATGGAAAGAAATGTTATTTACATTTTTCTATATTAAACATTTTAAATGCTACTTTAAATTCACGCAATTCAAAATCTAATAATTTTTCACACTTTACTAAAATATTGCTTAATTATACATATATGTCAAAGATGACCAACTCTAAAAAAATAATAATTTATTTATATAATATCTCAGATCTAGACAGGCGCTATAATGGAGCATTCTAATCTGATGCTTTCGAAGATATCAATTTTTTCTATTTTCGATGTTTTTATAGCCTAGAATCTTAATAATATATTGCTAAAATTTTTTATAAAAAAAAACGATTGTGCGTAAAATATTTATGTAATTTGGCAAGATCTATATAAATAACGACATAATGCGTCAAACTAGTATCTTAAATATAATAAAATTCTCGTTGTTCCGATGTTCTGACTAGAATGCTTAAGAATTAGTATCGAAACTTCATGGAACTGTGAATGGAAATCGTCAGAAATCCCAGAATTCTCAGAGACATTTAGCAAATAGAGACATTACAATCAGTAGAATCGATGGATCCGCGAATAAACAACGATAACATTGGAATCAATACCGATAATTGCCATTAATAACACCGATAAGGGGGCATTATCGAAACTATATACTAGTAACGTTAAATAGACGAAAAAAGTTCGTATAAACTTATGCCCAAGAATGCTCTATTTACGCAAAAGAATTGATTTATAAAAGTACAATAGAAAAAGAAGATCAACTTTGGAAATCTATTCAAAGTGCATTTACCATGATTCCAAATACAGATGGAATATTTGAAAAAGTTTGACAGTCGCTAATTCGATGAATGGAAACCCGCATTTTTGCAAAGGGATGAATTTTCGAACGTTTCTCACAACCGTTACAACAAATCATAAATATCTTTAAAAGCTTATATTTTTTCAATAAAGCATTTTCGAAGGTAAAATGTGCAGTTTTTTCATCTATTTGACCCGAGTAACGCGTAGTATAATTTTGGTCCCAACCTTTTTGGACACTCTGTACATAATAAATTGTCCTCTTATACCATACCAATATAATAAATTTTCTTATTTGATCGATCAGCTTGCAATGAAAATGATCGAATTACAGTAAACGCGATTTGTTTGTCATTGATCGAAGCGTCCCCTAGTTACTTAAATTTTTATGAATTTAACAAGGGGAGTTCTCGGCAGTAGAAATCGCTTTTTGGTTATTTTTAATGGAAATTTGTATCCATTGGTGCAGTCTCCTCCCTTAAAAAGATCAACACTACGGAGAACACTCGTTTATTGCACCCCCTAAGCGTCTCGTTTCTTTTCCCCCCGAGCCTCAAGCTCAGTTAGCAGAAAACCGTCAAGCTAAGAACAGCATTACATTAATTAAACACGTACTCAGGTCGAAACCTAGGATAAAACTTAGGATGAAACTCTGTTTTATTTATTTAGCAAGTAAATATTGAACAGTTTTAAGAGTTCTAAGCATGTGAAAACTGATGCATTGAAAAGGTTCACGACGGAGAGGACGATCGCACGCGAGGACCTGCTGCGCGGAGGATCTGCAAGGCTTCCAAGCGTTGCACGTGATCGGACGGGGCGGTAGACAGCACAGTCCAACGGGAATTCAGGGACAGGATCAGCCGGTGGTCGACTACAGGCGACTGGTCTTCATCAGCTCGGACTCGTCTTCCGGACGGGAGGAGGACGACGCTGACAGCAGCTGCTCCAGTTCCTCTGTCCTGAACGGGTTGCCACGTGGTGGCAGTCACGCGCAGTCCCTGGAGGATTGCGACTGGGATTATTTCGAGAGCGGAACCTTGCCTCTGCCACCTGGTATACCGATTACCATCGGGACGAACAACGTCGGAACGGAGACCAACAGCAGTCAGGATTGGAGCTGTTGCCCTGGACGTGGCACGACGCCTTGTCAGGTAAGTTGCTCGTTAGGAATTACTGGGTCTACGTATTAATTATCGACCTCCAAATTGAATGTAACGTTTATTCCAACTGAACTTTTTTATCGTCGTGTTGGTATAATAAACTGGGCTAAGAAGTTTTACTCTACGGTCGATGGAACTTCAAAATCAGTAGAGAATCCCTATAGTAAATTGAAATATCTCCTGAACTACTAATTTTTCGACGTTACATAGTTAGTACTTTTTTATAACGATTGTCCAGCTAAATCGATTGATGTATTAAAAAATACCTCATTCCATTTAAAAAAACAAAGTTGACCTTTATATGACCTTTACGCGTCCACTCACGAAAAAACTAATAACATCAGAATATGCTCCACTCGATACCATTCAAGCCTCCGCTGAAACATTTTTTCTTACGAGTAACAATAGCGAGAAAATCAAGATGTCAAAATCGGGTGAGACACCCTGTATTTCTGTCCACAATTGCGAGTATGAAGGCGTCGAGTCAAGAGTTGTTAAGGTTGTTCGATATACATGTGGAAAAATTCTTCTCCTACATAGGCTTGCGGAGGTTCACGAGGCGCGAACGTGCTCCCAGTGCCAGTGCCAATTCCGGTGCCGGTTCCGTATCCGGTGCCTGTTCCAGCTGCTCTCTGGACCGGTGATTTCGCAGCCGCCGCATCTTCCATGATAAGCCGCAGCAGCGATGCTCACGCTGAACCAGGATCACTGAGGTTGAGAGGCGACCCAGCTGCACCCTGGTTCGCTTGGCACCCGCGATTCAATCAGCCTCTTCACGGGACCAGGCTCGATCCGAGATTGACGGGCATCTTCGATCCGGCGACCTGTACTTTCAGGCCGGAACAGGTGTTGGCGCCGCGTTTGTACGGGTCTGCTGTCGACGGTACGTCCATCCCGTCGACGGAGACGCTCCAACAGCGATACGCCGGTCTGCAAATCCATCACGCGGAGAACGACAATGCCGGGGCGAGCGTCGCGTCGAAGTCCGCTGAGTACTTTCAGGACGAGGCGGTGTTCGAGGCTGCGAACGAAGCGAAAACCGCGGAGTCCTCGATGAAAGTACGCGGAAAATTGGACGAGCCGAAGGTCGATCAGAGCCAACAGAACGATGACGAGACGAGTCAGACAAAGGAGAACGAGGAAGCCGCTTGCCAAGATCCTGGAGGTGTATCCTTTGAGAGCAGAAGGGGACAAAGGATGTACCAGCACGAGGATTCTGGCAGCTCCTCTGGACGGTCCTCAGCGGACAGCAGCGACTTGGAAGACGACTCGTCCTCCCACAGGTTCTCGAGGGTCTTTGTCGTCAACGACGACTCTCTCACGAGCGATAACGACATCGAGGACAACGGGGACGAGGACGAGGACACCGATTCAGCCGCCGAGGACGGTATCACGTTGAAGCGCGTGACCGCCATTCCCGAAGAGGAGCCGGTGGTTTTGCAGTACGTTCGGTTCTTCAGCGAGGAGTCGAATTTCGAAAATCCGAGCAACGGTCGGGCGCAGAACAACAACAGAGACAGCTCGGAGGAGGAGGCGAGGACCAGATCCGCTTACAAGGAGAAGATCGCCTCGCAAAATGGCAGAACGATGCCCGAACGGAACGAGAATTTCAACGAGAAGCGTAAAGCTCGCGGAAGGAAGAGCAACTACGAGGTAAACATCGATAAGCGGAGTCCGGTGTTCTTGCAACACTGCGCAATGCCCGAGGAAATGTACATCGCTAGCGATAACGATTGCACCGAGAATCAGATCGAGCTGAAATCCATTAAAACCTTGGATCCCGATAGCATCGAGCCGATACCTGTCATCAACGCCAGCGAAAGTATCGTTCTGGAAAAATTGTTCGATAAAATAGAAAACAACGTTTCGGGAGCCGATCGATCGGAATTGACGCGCAGCGACGAATCCGTTAATTTGGACGACCGGGCCAAGTTTTTCTCAACGGACGCCTGGGACCCCAACATAATTCCAGACTCTTTGGAGATCTCCGAGCAAGAAATTTTGAACGTCGGTAATTTCCAATCGAAGAATAGTTTCGAGATCTCCAAGATAATTCGCGATAGAGGGAACAGTGCAGATCGCGATCGAACGAGCGACCACGATTACCGCGAAACTGGGATCGATAGCTCCGTTACTTTATCGCAGATAATGGCGAACGAGTGTCTCGATGGGGGCAACGATAACCAGCGTGACACACCGGCCGATTTGAATTCGAACTTCAGCGTCGCGATGAACGCGAGCGCGTTCTCGGGGTCGGACAGTTTCACGAGCAACGAGACGAACGCGACCGGAAGCGAGGTGAGCAGCGACGAGCTACACGAGTACGAGGTGACGTCCGCCAGTGTCTCGTCGCACTACGACAGCAACGAGTTCTCGTACTCGGCGGTGAACAGCGAGCTATTATCGAAACTCAATAACAGAAACGAAGAGAGGACCGCGAAAAGTTTCGAGGATGTTGACGAATCCGTCGTCGCGTCGAGCAGAACGAAATGGAATATACAGTACGAGAGATCGGTCGTTGAGCAACCGTCGGACAATTCGAACGCGAAAGGTGTCGTAAGCGCGCGTACCGAGAATGATTCGGTACCGACTGCCGTGGAAGACGATCGAAAATCGATCACGGAGGACAAAGATGAGGCGGGGGACGACCTATCGGAGGAGAGCCAAGGCGGAATCGAGTTGAAAGCGACGAGCAGCGCGGTGGGCGACATCATAACCAACAAGATTCAGGAGATTTTCAAGAGCGCGGACGCTGCAGGTAACGTAGAGAGTGCGCACGACGGCTGCGCAGGTACGGCGAGAGGCGAGTGTCCTGCATCTAGTCAGGTGGGGGTAGAGGTTCAAAGTAGAGGTGGCGAAAGTGGTAGTGGCAGTGACGGTGGTGGTGCCGCCGGTGGAAGCTGTACCGAGGAGGGGGTATCGACACGGTTTCGCTCAGTCGAGCGACGCCCGTCTACTGGAAAGGAGAATGGATTCCCTCCTGCCGTGTCGACGAAGGATTCCATCAGAGACGTTCAACACTTTCCCTCGACGATCCACGGCAACAATATCGGTAACAATAATCACAACAACAACAAGTACAGGAGCCTCGTGATGATCACTCAGGAAGCCTCGTACCAGCCAGTCAGCGTCATCACCTCGGACACGACGACACTGTTGCAGCCGGATGAGGTGCATATGGCCAGTCAGGGTCTGGCTGGATACTTCCAGCTGGCGCTGGAAGCCGTAGCCGAGCAACCGCACCGTAAAAACGGTCAGGGGCCGAGGAAGCCTCTGATGGTGAAACGGTTGTCCAGCACCATCGCGAATCATTCGGAGACGGAGGTTGACAGTGGTTTGAGCGTGGGCAGTGCCAGTGAAAGCGACGATGTTTCGGTGAAAAACTCTACGAGAGTAGCCAGTCGGCAGGAAAATAACGAAGAGAACGGCTCGAGGGAGCGCCAGGCCAACGAGCATCGGGAAGGTACGCGAGCACGTGTCTCATCTCAATCCAGCGACGACAATTCGGGCAGCGGTGGGATCGTGATATTGGAGGAAGGATTGGCCGACGATGATTCGTGGGTGGAAGAGGTTTCCCACGACGAGGACGAGCCTGGAGCCACCACAGCCACGGAAGAGAGCTCCGAGGACGAAGCCAACAATCTTGGCGACCGCGAAGAAGAGCTCAGGGGTTATCACAGGCAGGCTATCGACTTTACTTTGCATACCATCGTAGAGGAATCGTGCGAGGAGAGCGAGGCGGAGCCCAGTCTGGCAACAGGTAGCCCATCGAAGAAGCAAAGACCGCCGTCCGCGTCCGAATTAGAGAAATACTTTTTCTTCGGCCTCGGTGGAGATGGCAACAACTCGAGCATGGGATCGCGGGAAGTGGACAGTTTGTCGGAGACCTCCTCGATCTACTCGGAGGGCTTGGAATCGCTCGGGCAGGACGAGGCACCCGGCAACGGGCAGAGTCAAGAGAGATCGAACTCCGGAGAGGGGTTCTTGAATTCCTCGAGGCTGGAGAAGTACTTCTTGTCGGAGTTCCTTGGTTTCGATCAGGACAGACGGGACTCGGACGGTTCCGTTGGCAGTGACTCGGAAGGCAGACCCAGCCCAGAAGCGCAAAGGAAGAAGAAACTGGTTCGCGCCAGAGGCACCGGTAGATCCCACAGCTCGTCTCTGGACAATTTGTTGGCGCTCACGCAGAGTTCCCAGAACTTGAGCTCGCAAAATTCTCTGCAAGATTTGAGTCTGAATCAGGACGGGCAAGAGAGTCAGTCGGAGGGCTCGTCCACGGAGACCGACGGAGCGGACGATGGCCAGACCGCCGCTTTCGGAACGGACGGACAGTTCGACACCGTGAAACGCAAAAAGAAGAAACCCAGAAACCTGGGGACCCAGAGTCCACGTGTTCCAGATGACAGAAACAAAACGCCAGAACCGAGCAGAGAAATGGCGCTGGTGGGGGAGGTAGTGATGGAGAACGAAGCGGAAGCTGACTCGGAAGACTCGGAAAGAGCGAAGACGCCGCAACCGGAAGGTGTATTGTCCTCTTCCTCCTCGCCGTCGACCACCGTCAACGCCTCGGCGACGTCCGCGTTGCAAATCGACTCTCCGAGAAACATACAAATCGGCTCGGGAGATTCGTCCACCTATAATCAAAGATCCAAACAGCAGTCGCGTGATTCCGGATTCGTCGGTAGTTGCGACGATCTTCTCCAGCACCAAAAGCTGCCCGACGACGCTCAAGTCAACAACGAAGTCAATCAAGAGTCTGGAAAGGATTGTTCCGGCAAAGAGAACGGTGAAAATACCCAAGATGCGAGTCAAACCTCCACGGAGAGATCTCCTAGCGTTGAGAAGAGTAACGCGACCAAGGTCGATCATCCTCTGAATCACACGGCGCTGCCCCACTTGGCGAACCCTTCGCTCTCGAGGAAGGACAGTTTCAACAATTGGTCCAGCGACGAGGAGACGAATTTAATGATGTCGAAGATGAGGCAGTTCTTCAAAACGATGGTGGCAAATTCGAACGGACAGAATCAGAACACTGCCAGCGCGAATTCCAGCGGCGCGTCGCCCGCGCCCAGTCCTCGTTTACCTGGGTACGCGTCCAAAGCCAGACTGTGCACGCAAAACCGCACGAAACCGCCACAGTTGGTGTACTTCGAGAACGAGCTAACGAGGCTGATGAAAACGGTGCCGGGGATACGCGACGAGCAAGTGCGAGAAATAGTCGAGTATCTCAGTTCGGAGGACACGTGGTCCGATTCGTACGATAGCTCGGATTACACGAGTTCGGACCTGGAGGGAGCAGCGGGCGGTCGTCGATCGGCGCTCCAGGAACAAATATCCCAGAGCTGTCAGCAGATTATCAGCAAATTCGACACCACGTCGAATAACAATCTGTTGGACAAGGAGAGGGAAGAGAAAACTGGCCCGACCGGGATGCAACCACCGTGTCTAGGCAGAGACACCGCTTTCGTCTATCAAAAGCTGGTACAAAGCTTCACCAAAATGGCTGGCGACGGCGTGAGCTCCGACGCCAACTCGACGCCGCACAGCAGCCCGCCGTTGATCGCGAAAGTGATGCACCATATCGGTAGCAGATTGGTAGCCCTGATGCACGAAGTGTCGGAAGGTGGACCAACCGTCCAGCATCACTCCACCAGTTGGAGACGATACTCCCAACACCATCGAACGCCATCCTCGGCGTCCACCACGGAAGACGACGACTCCACCTCCGACTCGACGGCTCCTTCGTCTGCACACTTGCAGTTGCCCAGATCGAAGTCCCACGATCCTCTGCTGCTGATCAACAACCACCCGGCAGCGTCGACCGGACAGGAAGGCGAGGAGCGAGAAGCTAGTGATTACGAAAGATTCTCTTGGCGCGGGAGCTTCGAATCCGCGTTAATGGCGGCGGATTCGAGGACAAAGCTCAGCCTGCTGGCTTGTTCCGGGGATGTCAGTGTCGGTGCTAGTGCTAGTGTCAACGCCTTGGCCATGGCCGCCAAGCGTCGAAGTGCAGGGGATCTGTTGTTCAATCCAAAGAGTTTTTCTAGAGAACAGTTGGATAGGGTTAGAAGTTGCGGGTCCATCGGCGGCGGGAGCGGAGGCGCCGCGAGTGGATGCGGAGGATCGGTGGAAGAAAGGATCTGGAGCAACAGGAGGAGGTCCTCTGTTCCTGATGCCAACACGAGGGGGGAATCTGGTAAATTCATTGCTTCTTTATTCCTGAACTAACATTCTCTGGTAATAGTTTCTTGTTCGTGGGACTCGAGTATACAGCGGCGGCCATATTGTTAAGAATACTCAATTAAATTGAAACAAAATAACATTTTTTAGTCGACAATTCTTAAGGAACTTTTTCCTATTATTTCACAACCGATTTTCGTCGTGTTCAGTCTCCTAAAGTCATGTTAAGTGTTCTTATGTTCATGGCCGCCATTATTGTAAATTTCCAAGCGTCGTTGAAATTCATTTTACGTAGTTCTGTCGTCTATCTAACGCTGTATTTATGTTAATTGATGGGATTAACAGGTGACGAGGACACCGAAGACGAACTCGAATATAATGGCGAATCTCGAGCAACGACTCTTCCGCGTGGAATGCAATCAGCCATCACGGCAGCGACGAACTCTCTGCCACGTTTGCCAGCCTCGACGGCCCCGGCTGGTTCGACGACAACATCGATCGCGCCATCGTCGACGATGCACAAGGCACACAGCGTCTATCACTTCCTGCCGCAGCATTCCGGCGTCAAATCGGCCAGATATCGGCCGCCTGGTTTCGCGAGGAACAGCAACGTGGCTGGCGCGATCGGTGGACCCAAGCGCGCCGTCAGCGCTCCGGGACTCCAAGTTTCCGGCTCCCAGTCTACCGTGGGAAAACGCGAGAACTCCAGATCGAGGAGGCAACAGGCTATATCTCTCACGTCTGGTAAGTTGCCACCATGTTTTTTTGCTAACACACGCCGTGGACGGTTCGTGGAAACAAGCGGATCGTTGGAAATGCCATGCCTGATGAATATGCGTTCGTCGAAGTAATTAAGGATAGCCGCTGGCGGGAAAACGCGTGTTGCAAATCTTTGCCAGAACTGTTGGAAAGGTGGTCGAGCAACTGACGCACTTTGGTCGAAAGAAACTGATTTTTAAACGGAAAAGTCCAGCATTCGGATGAACCGACTGGACTGTTCAAACCATAATTAACTTGATTTAACAGACGCCTGGGTTGTGGCTAGCGATAGCTTGTAATTCAAGAATGAGATATTTCTGATATGTTCGTGAAATTGCACATGTAATTTTTAGGACCTCTTAGACTAGTGAAAACTTGTGATTCAGAAATAAGATTCTTGTATTTTTGTGAATTACAATCTCAGGTGAAATTGCACAATTACTGACTTAGGACTTCTTAAACAGATTGTGCGTAGTTCTGTATTGATATTCAGTAACCGTCGGTGTCTTATCTTTTTCGTGATTAATTTGCCCCAACAGAAAGTCTCTATCTTTAGTATTACCACATCTTTTATCCTATCAGGCAATTATTTACACAGATTGAGAGAAACTTTGCAATCCCAAGTGTTCCTGCACAATATTTATCCACGTATGCCTGAAACTCTAGAGTCATATTTTTATTCGACACACACGATTATGCAAATCGAGATGATAGTGTCCGACGCTAAAAGTGGAATGCATCGATGATCGAGCTCTGTAGAGTCGAGGATCGTTTTTAAAAAACACGATTACTGAATTCTTGATCGTATTCTATGAAAGTTATTTTCATATCGACGAAGCTCGGTTTCAGAAGTCGTACGTATTGCAACAACTAGAATGCAGCTTGTTAATGACCACCTTGAAGTATTTACCGAAGTATAACAGGTGTAACTGCTTTATTACGAGATTTCCCTTTTCCGTTCTTCTCCTCTCTCCTCTATCTTTCTCTCTTACCCTCGATGCGTACAACAATCGATAAAACGGTGTAACATCCCGCGTATGCGTACTGTCGAACTCTAGTTATTACATTTTTCCTTCGTGATTACGTCCAAACGGCGTATTCGAACGAGAATACGTCAAATTTTATTATTATTCTATAATCCACACTATCCCTTAAATAACTTACAAACCATGTGTTTTATAAAAAATTATTCTATACAAAAATTCGGTCTTTAAAATAAATGAATCTTTCTTTCTATATACTCAAACGTTGAAATGTTAACGTATTAATTGGACGTTGCTTAAGTGTAGTTTGAGATTCAAATTATATTTTAATTTCAACAACTTATGTTAAAAATAATTATATTTGACGATTTCAATTTTTCAATTTTTAAAGATTTCTTGTTCTCGTAATTTTTATACCATACCTAATGTTGTTCTAATATAAAAAAGTAAAATTTTCAATATTGTAATAATGAAACTCCAAGAATGCTGCAATCTTTTTAATCGCAATGTATATTTTTTTAATCGTTTTTCTCTGATATTTCGTCTTTTTTTTTAAGTAAAGTTTCCAGATTACTATATTCAAACCCTTTTACTAAACTTTAAAAGAAGACCAAATTCATAGTAAGAATGTTTACAATGGTTTCCTCATTATAGAACAGAATAAATTTTTAAATGTCAGATTAACTTAAGTAAATTAGATAAATTCTTAAACCAGATTCTCATCATGGTTTCTTCGAGACTTCTTATCCTGGAAACGAATAAAATACAACTTGACTTTTTCAGGTCAAGGTCAATTGTGCTGCTACTTTTAATAGATTGTTTTAATTGACAGTTTCACAACATTATTATATTGTATTTACTGAAAAGAATACTAAATTTCTATAATATTGAAATTATGCTTATTCCTTAGAATTTATCCAAACAGTGATATCTTTTGCGTGGCAATATGTTTGAAATACAATAACAGTATCGGTTTTGCAAGCAATGTTTGATATTCATCGACCTCCAAGAATGTGTAAACGATTTCATAACAAAAAATTATTTCAACACCTACAGACAACAATATACATGCACAGTATACAGGATGCTCGGCAAACCCTGGAAAAAATTTTAATGGGGGATTCTAGAGGCCAAAATAAGACGAAAATCAAGAATACTAATTTGTTGATCGAGGCTTCGTTAAAAAGTTATTAACAATTAAATTTAAAAATTTCAAATCATTCTAAAAAAATTATTTTCTGTTGCGGAGGTCAATTTCAATCAGTTTGGTCAATACACATATCTTCGAGATCCTACTCACTTTCGAGAAAAAAAATCAGGTACGTGCTGACATTTTTCGGCGAAAAAAAATTGTTCAAATCGTTCTAAAAAAAATTATTTTCGGTCGCAGGGGTCAATTACAATCATTTTTGGTCATTACACATATCCCCGAAATCCTATCCAGTTACTAGAGAAAAATTCGAGAAGGTGTGAAATTTTTCGACGGGAAAAAAAAATTTCAAATCGTTTTGGAAAAATTATATTCGGCTGCGGGGGTCAATTACAATCATTTTTAGTGAATAGACATACCCCCGAAATCCTACCCACTTTCGAGAAAAAAATTCGGATAGATGCTGAAATTCTTCGACGGAAAAGAAATTTCAAATCGTTCTAGAAAAAATATTTTTAGTTGGAGGGGTCGATTACCATCATTTTTGGTGATTAGACATATCTCCAAAATCCTGCGCATTTTCGAGAAAAAAATTCAGTACGAGCGGAACTTTAAACGTTAATAACTTTTTAACGAAGCCTCCATCAACAAATTGGTATTCTTGATTTTCGTCGTATTTTGACCTCTATAATACCCTATTAAAATTTTTCCCAGGGTTGACCGAACACCCTGTATATTGTATTTATCATTGTAAATCGTATTTATAATCATTGTTTATTTCTACGCCTTTTTCACTTATTTTCGTTTATTATTATTATTTGGTAATTGAGAAAATAAGTCGTGAATATAAAATAAATAAATATAAAATCGACTTTAGAAATTGATTATCGGTATAAGTGAAATAGGTAAATAATGGATAAACGTGCCAAGCAAATCGTATTCAATCGCACACGTATCCTATAAATATTCAAATTTAATTACGTCGATAATAAACCAGTCTATGAACAATTTTAGTCTATATTTTGGACTTATTTTATATGTCAAATAATTACATACGATACGAGGGTATAGTGATTAATGTTGGTTCGATCAAAAACTAGTTTTTAATCCAGGATCTTTTACGTTCAATTAAGGGGTTTTCAGGTGTATTAATGTATCTAAAAAATTTGTAAAACAATCTAGGTATTATCTTTGACATCTCGAGAATTATAACGATAATATTAGAATATTTATTGGTTCCCTGTACAAAGTGGACATCCATAAATCTATCTATGGCCTTACTTATGCGTTTATATTTCTTCGTGCAAAACACACCGAAGTCGCGTCAAAGCTAATTGCAATTTATTTTTCCATGTTTGCGCGACATAATGTTTATATATTGCCCATAACTTTCAAGCCACGCGTTACAATTACGACGTGAGAGATTAATGATAGGGAAAGTGTGCTATCGTTTTGTTCGAGAACGTATATTTCACATCGAGTGAAATAAGAACGTTGCTTTCTTTATCTCGTAATCTGATTATTTTATTCGTAAACGTGGTTGGCTGGAATAAAAAATAAAAACTTTGGATTCGTCGACTAGCTTTTAGTTCTAAAAAAATCCACGAGCAGATTCGAATTTACGAACGAAAGTTGAACCGCCCCATCGAATCGAAAATTTGTATTCATGAATAAGATTTACCCGACTGAACAAAGTTTTCTATTGTTCTTTTATCGTTTTTGGCGCTGCTGGTAAATCTATCCTTGAAGTGGGTCTCGAATGCGCGGAGCATTTTGTACGCAAAATGAATACGGATTCTCATGGCAGCCTGTTCGCGTGAGTTCGATTTTGGAACGATGGAAATATGCCATTTCCGACGGTGGTATTACGTTGTTACCTCGCGTCAAAAGTTGGGCTGGTATCGTGCTATGAATTTTTGTTATCGCGCGATCGGTATGCGAACGCGCGTGCAGCAAAATGTCTATCGTAACGTCATGATTGTTTGACGGATATAGACGTGTTCATTAGAGCCAGTGCTTTTCTATGGTACGGCTTTTGCATCGCTTCGACGTACCCGAGGCTACTTTCAAACAAAGAAACGCGTACTCATGGTTGGAATCGAGTCAAGGACATCGATGCATTTGCAATAACCAGAAATTGAAGTGAATATAAATATTAATTATGAGGAACAGGCGTATGAGTTTTGCAAATAATATTTAATGTATAATACATCGAGATCGAACGTGTACGTGTAATACATATACAGGGTGTTCGGCCACCGGATTCTAGAGGCCAAAATAAGACAAAAATAAAGAATACCAATTTGTTGATGGAGGCTTCCTTAAAAAGTTATTAACAATTAAATTAAAAAATTTCAAATCGTTCTAAAAAAATTATTTTCTGTTGCGGGGGTCGATTACAATCATGTTTGGTCATTATACATAACCCCGAATTCCAACGCATTTTCGAGAAAAAAATTCGAGTAGGTGCTCAAATTTTTGACCAAATTAAAAAATTTCAAATCGATCTAAAAAAATTATTTTTGGTTGTGGAGGTTGATTATAATCATTTTTGGTCAATACACATAACCCCGAAATCCTACCCACTTTCGAGAAAAAAATTCTTTACCGAAAATCTAATGTGAGACCAGAAATGCTATCCTGAAATATCATGCGTATCTTAAAAACGTCATAACTTCTGAACGGATTGGAGGATTTTAATGTTTCAAACGGCAAACAACGCGTGTTTTGGCGTAGAATATATAGAAATTTTAGTAATATTGAAAAAGTCATTCCCTGACCCCGTAAAGTGAGAAAATCCCCATAAAAATGGTCCAATTTTCAAACAGCCATAACTCCTACAGTAGCGAATA